AAAAAAAAAAAAAACCCTGCATGCTGTGGAGTAATCCTTCTGTACACTGTGGATATGTCACTATGATTGGTTCAACAAACAAGCTGACTGGCCAGTAGCTGAACAGGATAAAGTTAGGTGGGAAAGCCAAACAGAATGATGAGATGAGGAAGGGCAGAGTCAGAGGAGAAACCAGCGTGGCTGAGGAAGGAGGATGTGTACAAAATGAAGTAACAAGTCATGAACTACATGACAGCACATAAATTGATAGAAATTGATTAATTTAAGTTATAAGTAATATGATTTATGGTGGGAAGATGCTGGCAGGTTCCCCTCCTGGTGTGGGGAACTGCAGTATGTGGGAGACAGACAGATACACCATGCAGAGAAAGCTAGTGTATAAAGTTTGTTTAGTGGTATTGTGAAGGGTAAGGTGGTTATGGAGGGGGGAGAGAGAGAAATATAGGGAAGGAGAAAGAAAGAAAAGAGGAAAGAAGAGGGGAAGGGAGAGACAAAGGCTGCTTCTTCAGAAGAAGGATAGAAGAAGAGAAAGGAAGAGGAGGCATAAGATCAACTTCCCTCTGTGAAAAGGGGCAGATTGGGAGTGGGTGGGACTTGTCTCTTTAAGGGACAGGGTACCCAGGTGACAGGGCAGGCCAGTGGAATTATAATTACAATAATCAGAGCTAGCTAAAAACAAGCCTGAGCATTTAAAATTAATATAAGCCTCTGTGCGGTAATTTGGAAGCAGCTCCCAGGACAGGAAAACTTTACCTACACATTCACACACATAAAAATAAAATGTAATTAAAAATGCTAAAATAATTACAATCTATACAATGTGCTTTCTAATTCCATGAGAATAAAATGACCTAATGACATAATGGTCTTACAAAATAGATTTTAAGGAATGTAAAATATAAATTCAAGGTTTGGAAACAGGATGTACCTGTTCTGAAGGTCATTTTTTTTTTCAAGGCAAGGTTTCTCTGTATTTGTTTAAAGAGCCTGTCCTGGAACTTGATCTGTAGACCAGGTTGGCCTTGCACTCACAGAGATCCACCTGCCTCTGCCTCCCAAGTGCTGGGATTAAAGACATGCGCCATCACCACCCAACCTGAAGGGCATTTTTAATGTCAGAAAAGACCATAGAGTACATATCTCAAATGGAAACCTTGTGAAGAATGAAATTATGCTTTAAATGCTATAACTTTAGCTATTGCTCAAATATTGGTACTGTGTCAATCTTGTCTACAACGGGGCCTCAGCTGCCTGTAGTCTCATGTTCCCAGGCAGGATGTTAAGGCCCAGGCTCAATGTTGCACTCTCTAGAACAGAGGTAGAAAGTAGAAGGAAGAATCCTTGGATAAATTTGGAGACAAA